TACGAGTTCCGCGCAGTCCGTGCCGGACGCTGCAACGGCAGGTGGTGCCGAGACAACGCCATGCGCTCCGAAACCGGCACACGGAACGGGGATCACTCAACCAAAGGCACTTCGGGGTCATCGTTGGTCGCGACCGCCACGTCGACTTGCAGGCCCTCACGGCAGGCACCGCGGCAAATACGGCAACAGCGTCTGTATCCGCCAGCAGGGTGTGCCTGTCGACAAGAAGGGTAGTGATGTTCATACAAGGATCTGAAACGGTTCGGGTCAGGCAGTGAGAGAGCGCGGTATGTCGACTGGATGGATTTTGAGAGTGTCATCCAGGCACGAACGGCAATCAAGTGGATCACAACCGATCCTGCAATCCTAGCGAGCCTGACTCGGGCTCCTTTCTGCATGTTGGGTGCCGCCCCTGCACCTCCCCGCGCAACTCTTTGTCGAGGACTGTAAGCCCAGCCTGTGTCTGTTCTAATGACTGTCCCGCACTGAGGGGTTTGCCGCCTTCATAGGACCGCATTCTTCCAACAATCGTGAGCCTTGCCCTAAGGACTCCCGGTCCCATGAGCTCCGCGCTTCGAAGATCATCCGACGATACTTCAAGTCCAATCATCTGATGGCCAAGCATCCCTGGCTAAACGAACGTCGTTCTAGAGAAGATCCACACATTGTCGACTGACAGCTTTATCGCTTTCCAACTCAGGCGTCAAGATCTACGGCCGACATGGTGGCATGTCTCTTGACCCCTGCTAGTTCGGTTCCCCGTACTCTTGACCCGTAAGCTGAAGCAGCGGCTGGAGAGGGCGGGGTGTTTGCGCAGAAAAAGACTGTCTGGCGCCTGCGTATCATTGGTGGCCCCCGCACGAGTCGCCGGGGTGAAGTGACATTGGCTATTTCGATAGGGCGATTCACAGGGGAACACCTTTGCCTCACACATCACTCCTTGTAGTCAGACATACGTGCCTCCATTGTTGTTGGTGCTTCCATAAAGATATTGTAGGATCCCCACCAGGCAAGCTGTCATTGGTCTGTGTGATACAGCAGCCGATGCTTGAGAACACTTGCGGCTCCGGCGGATGATGCGTTTTGTGGCCAGCCCACGAGGGCCTTGCGCAAGATAGCCATTTCCGACCGTTCGAGGTGAGCTGCTCCATGTTTAGATACAGAGCAAAGGGGTGTTGGGACCGATCCGCAAACCCGCCCCCTCCCTCCGGCACGCGTGCGCCTTTGTCACCAGAGGAATGGGTTAACGACAGTGTTTCGTCCCATCTGCAGGTATGATGTTACTTCTCATGTTTTATAAACGCAAAAGCGTCTCAATGTCGTGCCGGCGTCTCATCTTGTGACTAGTCGCCGTCGTTTCGTAAGACGCGTAAGAGTTCCTGGACTAAGTACGCCTAGTCCGGGAGTTTCGGCGCTGATTCAAACCGCTCGAGATGTCTGACTACTCCCAATCTTGGGAACGCTTTACCGTAACTGGATAGTGGGCGTTGAGACCTCAGGAGTTCTACCGGAGCGTAGAGCTCAGGATCCACTCCGAAGTCTGTTTGGTCTGCCCGCACGCGCACATGCACCAGCTAACGGTCCGTGGGCATCTGCTAGAAGGCTAAGCGGCTAGGAGGTCGGCGACTCTCAGGATGTCAGCACAACGTCTCGTGTCACCAACGGGCTGGTCCAGTCCTGCGTTCTCGTACATGTCGCAGGATCTCACGTCACGGTCACTCCTGGACCACGAGGTGTCTGAGGGTTTCAAGGAACAAATGAGGGACTCAGGTCGTGCGCTGTGGCTTCAGGTCGCTAACCGAGGGGCACTGAGGGATGGGTTACGTCAAGAGCAGGAGTCGTCAGGGCATACCCTTCCAATGCTTCAGAGATATGTCCTGTAGGGTCAGCCAGGGTCCAAAGGGCCCAGATGGACCGGACCGTGCCTCTGCCGGTTCCTACGCAGGAGCACAAGGGTAAACGCAAGCCCGCGGCAAGCGGCAAGAGGAAGACCAGACGCCCATAGGGCCCAGAAACAAAGTGCACGCTAAGCACCCAGAGCTTATGCGCTTAACTGCCTGTGTTTGATTGCCTTGCTGTAAGCTTGCTTGCCTGGGCGGAATCGCATTCGCAGCCACTACCGGGCAGAGGTCGTCTCCGAACCGATGGGACGATCCCCGAAGTAGGAAGCTCCAAGACAGGATCGCAGGTGCAGTAGCTGCGTAGGCAGCCGTGGGCACAACTGTGGCCTGAGGGTTTCGAGGGTCGCGCAGGCAGCAGGGATGCTGTGATGATGTGTTTGTCGCTCCGCCTATTGGATTGGGACGTTAACGTTAACCTCAGAGCCTCTGTTCCTCGCGCCCTTGCTTCCAGTTCTGTCTATTAGCTTCGGCATCTCAGTTAATAATACAGTCCGTCGCCAGGACTAAGTCCAACTCATAGACTAGGGAAGAGACGTCAGCCGGCGACTCAGGACGTGCCAGGTCTCTGATCTCAGTGTACCCAGTGACCCAGGCGGGCGGTCGTGCTCTCGGTAGCCTAAGCGTCGTTGGAACCAGGTTCGCCAGTCACCCTCGTACCCTCCCTCTCTCGTCGTCCCTCGGCGCTCTCCCTCTCCTGCCATGTATCATGACTGAACTCAGGCATTTCAATGCATTCACTATCTCTCTCTTCATCCCACTTCGCCTACCTCTGCTTCCATTCAGTCCACTACTCCGACGCACTCTGCTACAAGCCTACGTCCTAGCTCCAACCGATTTATCTCATCCGCCTGGCTTTTCACTCATTGACCCCTCCCCTTCCCCCTCCTGAGTGTCAATCCTCACCGTTCAGATACGACGGCCTGGCCCTTTCCTGCCCCGCTTCCCCACTTTAAGCTGCTACTGCAACCCAGCAGTGGCTTCTCCAACATCAACCCGTAGGCCCGGAGGCTCGAAGTCAAGGCTGGCAGCGGTCTGAGTGATATAAAGGTCACGCACCCCTGCTCGCGAGTCCTGTTCGACACTTCCGCCCAGTTCGCCCGTTGAGCTGATTGACGGCCCCGGCTTGTGGATCAGCGACGTTCGATCCACCGGCTCTGGCTATTCGACCTGAATGGTAGGAGCTGTGCCGACGACAAACACAATCGGCACGCGAGACACGCGATACGTCGTAGTGCATCAGAGCAACTTCTGTGCGGGCTGCGAGAACTGGATGAACCCACCCCCTGCCCAGGGTCGCGCAAGGATCTGATTCAGCCGTTTCCTTTGTGGCTTGTGATCCACCCGACCGCCCGACTGTCAACGTACTGCTGAGCGGCCGGCGCCTGTGCACCCTAGCCCAAGAAGACGCTGTTACTGGTCCGGTGCAGGAGCATTAGGATTCCATAATATCGTAGGAGCGCCCCCTCTGCGCCTTCACTTCCCTTGTCTTCGGTGCCCTCGACCTCGACTCCTGCGAAGCCTGGGGCGCCTCCGACCAGCCCAATATCAGGCTGACTGCATTCCTTTGCCAAACGATCGTCACCACTGTCAACCACCAGCTTCCTATCATAATACCCACCTCTCCTCGACGTGCTCCCCCGACCTCGTCCTCGTTTGTGACACAACCTTAACTTGAGTCCCATCGGCAACCACCCGACCGCGCGACCACGCCACTGCAACCCGGCTATCAGCTGCCCCACTCAGCCTGGCCAAGTTCGGCCCGCAGGAACTCGAGGAGTCATCCAGGAATCCGGGCAAGCGAGTAAGTCCAGTACACAAGTCCGAGATCACACAGATCGCTAACCAGGTTAAGTACCGCCACAGGTGACACACCAGGCCGCGCTCTTAAACGAGCACGCTGCATAGTTAGCGCAGGCACGCCCATTTGCGCAGCAAGCGGAGACATCGAGTCCTCGGACGGCTGAACCGCCTGGCGTTTCTTCGTTGGTGACTTCCCCACCTTCCCTATCACTCAGTCGCCTTTATTCTCGGTCTTGGCCCTCAGCTGCAAAGGATCCTCGCCCAAACTTCTCCGTGTCGTTGTCTTGGACCCCCGAGCTCCCTTCCTGCCAACCTTCAGGCTCCGACGTGATCCTGTCCAATCCACCAGACCCACTCTTCCTAAACAGACGTATATCCTTCCACTTTCATCGGCATTCCTCTGCACCCTTCAAACACCCATCAGGCCGCCCGTTTCATACGTGCTTGCTCCATCGACTACATATACACGACGGTCGGCACAAGCACTCGCTGCATCTTGAATCAGCACTCTTGACATACCGCACCATCATCGGCACAGCTTCGGTGGCAAAACGCAGCAGCATCGGACTGCACGCTTAAGTGTCCCCCACTTGTCAGCGCCTCAGCCTTGTCAAGAGCTAAGCGTGGTCGCGTAAGCAGGGGCTTGCTGGGTGTGGATCAGTTCCTGGACCTGAACAGCCAGTCCTTGGTGTGTTCGAACGTTGATCCGGGCGCCTGCTTTGCACTTTGCATGGCGCACCCTTTTGGACGACAGCGGTGACTTGAGCTTGGTCCGAAGCTCGCTGGCGCGTTGTGTCTTTTTCGGTCACAGGTCTGTTCCCATTTCGTGCCAGGAATTTTCAGGTCCCCGATCAAGATTCGGCGTCAAGCGACCACAGTCGTCATCCTTTACATCGGGGCTTGACCGGATAGGATCCTGTTGCTTGGAGGCAATCTACTGCGAGACAAACCTGGCTTCCGGGGCACATGTTATCCTTGATTTAATCTGCCGCTGGAATCAAGTGTCCTCCTCTCCTTTTTTATCGCTTATCGAATCACTCTTGAATCCATCGAAAAAGTGGGACCGCCTGCAATCACCCCTACGAGTCTCAAACCTCTTACGCCAAACGTCTCCAACGTCTGACCTGACCTAGTTTTGCTCACGGTCGGTCAACTGCAACCCTTTCCTTCATATCTCAAAGCTGGTCGCGGCCAGCGACCACTGCATACACGATCAGTCCACCGCCCTCCACGCTCGTCGGCTTCAACTCGAGTCGACCTGACTACACGCCACCATTCTCTGCATTCACACATATCAAGATGAGTGGTGGCGTTGGCGGAAGAGGAGGCGACGAGCTTCCCTCTTCAACGCAACCTAGGAGAAGACCATCGACATCGATGCTCACCAACCAATCTCCCCCTCGACTTCGAACGATGCCGGACCAACGCTGGAGCCCGGAACCTCGACGAATATCGTATCCGCAGGAGGGAGCAACCTCTGGGAGGTCATCGGCTCCGAGGGTTCACTCGGTTTCACCAGATATCAGGCGAGAGCCGCTGTTGCCACCGGCCGCGATCTCACCTCCACCGCACCGGCGATCGTCAAGAGAGCCCCCACGAAGCACTTCGAGCTCCGTTCCATCTTACTACGACGAACGATATCTGGGCCGCGCCAGAGACTATCCAGAACCTGCTATTCCGGATCGACTGGAACGCAGCGGAGAAGGTAGCTGGGTACCACCCCCCGGAGGTCCTTGGCCCCAGTACCCGCCGCCGTCTTACCGACACGCAGAGCGACCATACTCCTACGGGCCGCCTCCGCCAGCACTGACACATCATCAAGTAGCACCCTCTGGACCCCCCGGTGCTCCGGCGGCGACTCCCAATCCTCAACCTGTCGGAAATTCTGCTCGCGCACGGTCCCCGCGTAGGGCATCTACGTTCCCCGTACTGGAACAGAGGTACGTATACATGAACCTGAGGCCGGGGTTCCTAGGGTGCAAAGGATCTGCAGCAGAAGTGGGGGTAAAAATGACTGACTTTGGGCACAGCTACGGACCTTCGTCAAGCCAACACGGTGCGAGAGAGCGCCAGGTAAGCGGCTACGGCGCGTCAAGCGCGGCTGTGCCGATGCCGGGCAGCGAGATAAGTGGTGGCCGCGGCCGATATGATCGCGGACCCCGTGCCTCATTGTGAGTGCCGCCGTCTAAACTACGCATTCAGGTACTGACGTCCAACTCTGCAATGTCCTGCGACCGGCGACTCAACGGCCCAACCCGATTTTAACCTTTGCGACCCACTCTTCATCCGAAAAATGTCCTGAATGTTCTGGTGCTTATTCATCATTCGTCTCCCTCCTGCGCCGTTACCCGTCGTGCGGCTGCGGAATGTACCTGGGCCCCTCACGCCGAATCCGCAACTTGAACTCGACCTCCACCATTTCCAGTCCGCAAGAGCGACCGCGAGCATTCTTCACCCCTCTCGCCACCGGCCACCGCGACCTCTCCACCTGGCCCAGAGATCTCGTCGACACCTACCGGCTAGGATGGGAGGACGCCATGGCGGCCGTCGCTGAGGGTCAGTTCCACATCGACGATGTAGTTCGTGAGTATTATTTTTCATCCGGCCGCCCTCGTTCCTAGACCCAGACAGTCACGTAAGCGTCTTGACGGAGATGCTGACCCAATCCCTCACAGACCACCGCGTTCCTCTGTGGCCGCCACCAGGTCGTCCGACCTCTCAGCCCCGTCCTCCAACCGCTCATGATCCAGAACTCGAGCGCGAGGCCAAGCGGGACCTCGAACGCAGAAGCAGAGACCGTGAATTGGAGACTTTGCCCTACCCTGCGAACAAGGAACCGCGTCTGTCACCGGCGCGTAGCATGGTTGCACATCCATCGGCTTACCCCTCTGCGCCACCGCCGTACCCACCCTACGCACATCCCCACTCACATTCAGGTGCTCAGGTTGGTTCAGGGCCTGGCCCCATTCCAGATTACGCACCACCGTACCCTCCGGCAACAGCCCCCTATCCGTATCCCTACACAGGCGGCCATTACCCACCGTCCGGACCGTATGACCATCCTTCCTACGGTCCTCATGTCATGCCCGGCGGCATGTACGGCGGGCCCGGAGCAGGAGCATACTCGCGTGCGTCGGAACAGCCCACACCCCACCTGCGCAACCGCCAAATGATCAGCTGCCACCCTTGTCGATCGCGAAAGGTCAAGTGCTCCGGCGGGCATCCCTGCGAAGCTTGCATCAAAATCAAGAAAACCTCCGAGTGCGAGTACGAGAAGACCGTCCGACGAAGGGGAAAAGGCAAGAAAAGCCTGATGGGGGAATCGGAATGGCAGTCCGAGTCTCAGCGGCGAGAAGGCGGACGAGGAGACGGTGGTTCCGAAGAGGAGGGAGGGGAAGGAGAGCGCCGGCCGTCCGGTGCCACGACATCGCAGGCTACTTCTGTTACTTCCAAGCCCTCCCGACAGTCGAGTGAGCGCAATGAGCGACACGAAGTTGCAGAAGCGCCCCACGACGATGATAACGAAGGCAGCCCCGAACGATCGAATCAGCCTAGAGGGACTAAGAGGTCAAGGTCCGACAGCAGGAGTAAGCCCCCAACCAGCTCTCGACGTGGACCCTCCCAATCGAGGCGACCATAACCGCCAGACAGCATGCATTCGGCGACAAGGCGTTACGGCGAGTACGCTCTCCTTCTTTTAATGGCCACATGGCCATAATCTTCTCTCACACCCCTGAAGTTCCCGCCATCTGCCAATTGCCGAGCTCCTCGGAGAGGACTCCTATGGCTAACATCGATCGCGAGTCTCGAAAGAGCAAGTCGCGGACGGGGACTGCAGTTTCAATCGTTGTACCTTGTGACTGCGAGGGTCTGCGCATGGTGGGGTAGGTGATGGCTCCTCTCTTCAAGCTGGAGCGTACTTTCCCATAAGCATCCACTTTCCGTTCCTCGCCGCGCAAAGTGTCCGGCCGCCGAAGCTTTTTCGCGGACAGTTCCCGTAGGTACAAGACTCGTACCGATTGGTATCATCGCTGGTTCCAGCCCTTACACTTCCCCGGAAATTAAGGAGACATCATCGCCTCTGGCCTGAAGAAATCACCGTTCTCTGTAGTGTCACAAGCACTCGACCCGCATTCTGACAGGACCCCTGTCGACTAGACGATCATCGCACCGTATCTTGTCATTTCTCCCCAGCACTCATCGCTCACATCATTTGGTCCTCCTCTCTTCATATCACATCACTACATAGCCCTTTGATACTAGTCACTGCATCTTTCTATACCCAGAAGTCTCCATTCGCCGAATTCTTCGCTCACCTTACTGCTGGCAGTGATTCGAGTAATCGTTCCTGTGTTGGCTGCCACTAACGCCTCACCCGGCGGCACTGTCTCACGAGATCCCGCTGGCGCACAGAAGTGGAATCGAATGGCCCCGCAGCTGCCCCGGAGGCGTTTCGCTCGGTCTTGGTCTTGGACGCAGCCCTGCGCCTCCGACCGAGCTGAAGAGATGTCGGGTATGTATCCGGAGCGAAAACGATGTTCCGAGCGAGGATTGTGCTTAGGTGCACTTGCTGACGCTTTCGAGGATGAACCATCGCGTCAGAAGAGTGGGTCGAAGTGCCACATTCCCAGCTGATAGGAGAGCCAGGAGAACCAAAAAGGGGTGCAAAAGTGGGGCCAGCAACTCCCTTGGGTCAACACGCGGTGGCGAGGAATGAGCAGCAAGGGGCGCCTTTAGCGTTGACGATCGGATGTCTCTACTAGGGCCTCACGGAAGGATCAGCCAGTCAGCGCGCCGAACGGAGCCCTCGCCGGCTCGCTCGGAGATGCCCGTCCTTGTCCATGTTTCGGGCGTCGGAGTTGAGTGATCCACGGGGGTACGCCCGTCTTATGACTCTCTCGTTTCATGCAAGAGCCTCAGAGCTGTCAGCCAAAAGGACAGGAGAGCGCGCGACCTCCTCGATCGCAATCGACCCGACCGCAGACGCGCAAACTGCGCCCACATCCATGGCTCCTAAAAATCTCCTAAACACGTCAAAGACTCTGACTGGCGATGATGTCAACCACGCCCAATGTCTCCGCAATGTGCGCTCGGAGCTCTCCTCATCTGCCGCTTTGAAGGAAAGAAAGTTTGCCTGCATTCGTTTTCGGAGCTGCGAAAATCTGCGCATTCTCTGCTTAACTTCTCAGAGTGTCCGTCTCCAACTTTGTCCTCAACGGAGACGGACAGGCACCTGCGCTCTCTGCGCATGGAGTACTTGCGCAGCCTTCGCTTGTCTGCCTAACTCCCTTCTGTGCGAAACGCAAGCGCATGCCTCGCATGCCTCAGCTTCAGACACAGTCTCGGCATCACTCGGCATGCCGCACGGAGCACCAGCCTGGCTAGGCTGGACGACACCAGGCTCACTGCGCCCTGCGCCCTGCGTGCAGGGAAGAATGCCCTTGGACCTGGCCTACCTGAGCTGCTCGGCACCCATCCCTGCGCACAGGGACCAGGGTGGGGGCTGAGTTTAGCCTATTCCTCCTTGTTTGGTTTTCCTCCCGGAACGACACCAGCGAGAGTCGAGAGGCATCGCTGCCCTGCTATGTCGCCGCAGAGGACGACATGAGGGGTGCATGTGACGTGTGATGTCGAAAAGCCAGACCCTGCACATGGGCCCTGCGAGTGCGCCCTGTGTCGCAGCAGCGGACTAGCTCTGTCGCGCTCTCTGGTTGACAGGAGTTGACTGGACTAGCTGGACTGCGTCTTCCTCCTACTCTCCACTCTCCTATACCGTAGTCTCCTGCGCGCCCCTCGCTCCTAGCGGCGACGGTGACTTTTCTAACCCTTCTTTTGTTAGCGCCAGCATCACACACTAGCTCGGCGCATTGCCCGAGGTGTGTTTGGCATTCGGTGCCCCTACTGCCTGCCGCCGGCCACGCGCTCGACGCTCTCGTGCCCGCCTCCACCCCCACCCCCTTTCGGTCACACCGGTCACACCACTGCACCATTGTGCCTCTGCGCTGTCCTTCAGCTTGACGTTTGATCGCCCGGAGATCTACACTGACGGAACTGCAGCTTGCTGCTTGCTTCGACGCCGCTGACGCCGCAAGCGCTACGGATGAGGAGCAGGCGACTGACGAGCGAGTGCGGCGGGCGCCGACTGACGCTGGCGTCAGCGCCGACAGTTCCTGTTCCTCGCCGAGTGCCTGTCCACTCTGTGTCCTTGTTCCTTTTCTAATGCCGGATTAACAATTCAGTGCCCTTTCAATTACAATGAATGTGCACGCTGACGCCCTCCGATCCTGCGAGGGAAGAGCGAGTCACCTTTGTCTCACATGGTCGGCCAAGCCTTACAGGGCTGAATTGGGATCATTAACGCTGGCGCACGAAGAGCTATAGGAGAAAGTCCGAGATCTCAAATGGAAGATAATCCCGAGCGTGCGGATCTCAAATCAGCAGATAAACCGGAACTGGACATCTCAAATCTACAGATAAAGCGACCCTTAATGGTCTGGGCGCATCTCAAATGAGAGATTAAAATGCCGACCGTAATCTCAAATGCAAACGCTGGCCGCACTTCATCTCAAATGCTAGAGATATTCCGTTGACTCTCCGACGCACATCTCAAATGCATGCATGTTCAAGTACCCGCGCTGGCGCAGGTATGTGCTGGGCAATGGCTGATTAATGCGTGAATCAATGCATGCATTCAGTCAACTTTGAGGGGATCTTCAGTCTGGGACATGTCTGGGCAAGGCTGGGCCAGGCTGGACTGACCTAGTCGCCGAGATGGCGCAGAGTTCTGGGCCAGGATCTCTTCTGAAAATCGCGCATACAAATTCGACCTAACCCGTTCTAATTGTGACACGGTGATAGTGCTTTGACACGGTCTAGTCTTCTACATTTGGGTAATTCTAGGCGCGCTCCAGAAATCGTTGAACCCTATTCCACACCCCTGGTCCGCTCCTGAACACTTCCCTGAGATCCCCCTGTCCTCGATGTACGAGCAGGCGGTAACGTAACCGCCGCCTGAACTTTCCTCCCAATCTCGTACTTTGAAGCGTGCCCATCGTAAGAATCGAAACGGTTCTCCTTCGCTAACGAGAGATGCTACGTCACGCGCGAACGGCGGATAGCGGAGAGGAAGGGGTGCGGAAGTGTACCCCATTTGCCCCGAATGCCGACGACGGGCTAGACGGACGTGAGCTGGGTTGCACTGAGCACGCGGGCTGCGCCGGGCTGCCGCGATCGATACCGGCAATCTGGACCGTGGAACAGTCCCAAACATCCACCCTACAACTGCGTCCACAGCGATCCGACTGCGTACGGCATGCTGCCGCTGCAAGCCGCTTGCAGCTGAATGCGAACGATGTTAGGCAGCCGCTAGCGACTTGCACTAGCAACACTAGCAGCCGCCTCGGCAGCTCGGCACCACCGTCGCAGCGGCTGATCATTTGCTCACGCACTCATGTACGCCGTGTACACTAACGATTGACCCTGCCAAAGAGACGAACTCGACCTGGCCCGTGTCATGGAAGAGCCGCTCAATGCCCGCAACATTGCTCCCCCGGCACTCGGTATTGGCTGTCGCCGCAGCGCTCAGCGACGAGTCTCGAGTCATTTCTGTGGGGAGGCTTTGCGATGGCCAGGCAGAGACTGGGCTCAGGCCAGACGCAGGGAGTATGCGCACCCTAAGAAGGCTTGCTCCGACAACGTTCACCTTGTTAAGCTTGCTTGCTTGTTCTATTTTCCGGCGGTGCAACGGACACTCCTCCCTCGAACGAAGTGCGAGTATCATTTCCTCGCACTAGCGACAGCCGACAAGCGATACGCGACAGGCGACGACACCTGCGGCAGTGACAACTCAGGTGCAGCGTGATGCAGGGTAGACAAAGGGCATCGTAACTCGAACATACGAGTGGCAGATCATAAGGCAATCGACAATCGAAAACAGCATCTCATGCTGTTATTGAGTTATTCTCAGATAGCGTTTTCCGAGACATTGGGGAACTCATTGAGGTGCCTCGACAGCTGTCCCTCAACGTTACTCATCATCGACTCTCGAGACTAGCACACCCTTCGACCTTTCCATGTCCCTCGAACTATCGATCCCTACATCGTCAACTTCTACCCTGCTCTGCCCGTGTCTCAGAACGTCGGTACTCCCCGCCCTCCTGATGGCGCATGGTTCGCCAGAATCGACTTCGCCTCGACTCGGCTGAATGGACTGCTGGTGACCCCTCCAGACAATCGACTGTTCCACCGCCGAGCTTCGAGAACAGCTCAGAAGAGCCAACGGCCCTATTTCTGACACGGCTGTGGTTACGTCCCAGGCCCATCGAAGTAGGCAGGCGCGACTTGAGTGCCATGCGGATCCTCCGATGCGGACCAGGGTGTGCTTTACTTACGATCTTGCTAACATCCTCATGATTATCCGACTGATGACAGGACTGAATTGTAAGGGAGCTGGACAGAACCTGGGAATCAGGCGCAAGTACTGGGATGGCGGGAACACTTGGAACTGCTGCTCCGTTCCTGCCCTCGAACGTCAATTGCGGTCAATTGCTGCGCTCAGTAGTGTGGCGGAGTAGAGTCGGCGACAGGTCCGCCCTTCCCCGATATACGCTGTGGCGGAGGTAGCCGGTCGCAGAACCGTGTGGAAGCATGGACACAAGGTGAGGTGCACACGTTTGTGCTCGTTGATTACACGGCTAGTGCAGAGTCGGAGGCAGCTCCGTTTCGAGATCTAGGTAAACGGCGCGGGCGTTGAGGGGCGAAGTCGGCAGCGGAGACGTTGGCGCCGGGGCCGTCGTATTCTCTCTATTCGGTCCACAGGCATCACACGGAGCTGGCTTCAGCACTCGACTCGTGAGTCCGAGGGGCATATGACGCAGTGGACATGCGACACAGTGGGCATGCGACACGGTGGGCATGCGATACGGTGGACGGACTGCCTTCACAGAAAATTAACGGACTGCGTCTGATTCACTCTCCTCTCCTGCGAGCCGACAACGATGGGGGCGAACTTGAGAGTATGAAGTGGTGTGCCACCTCGAGAGAACGCGGAGAAGTCATCATGCGTGAGGTTGGCTGCATCTTTTCCGCCTTCTCCGATCTTCGCAGGCTGAAGGAGCTTGTCTTTTCCATTCGCCTCCTGCGCAGGGAGCTTATCAGCCACACGGTCCAGGTCGAAGCAGCCATATTAAGCCGTCGCAATTCGACATCGCACAATTCAACCGCCAACACAGATGCCATGCTCCTCCGAGCCGGATCGCCGATATCACAAGGTCCTCCCTCCCCACCAAGGGCCGTGCTCTTGGACGTCGCCTCCGCCTCTCCTGCAGCGCAGTTGGTTTGGTCATCCTGGAAGCTCGCTGCACTTGGCGTTTCATCACACACACGCGTCAGCTGATGTGATTAGATAGGAGTTGACAACTGCCTCTGTCGGTCGTCGCGCAAAACGGGAAGTTGAGCGGATCAGCTGACGCTACACGGCTTGCGCTGACACAGTACCCCTCGCCACCTTAACTGCGATTGCATCCAACGCGGCCCCTCGCGCCTCCGGACACCCACACACAGCGGTGTCGACATCGTTACGAACCCATGACGCTTCGTGGACTCCCCGTCTGCTCCAGCGCCGTGCCTCGTCGCGGAAGCTGAGTGTCGGCAGCGGCGAGAAGGCGGCGAGCGGTCTGGAATCGGAGGCCGAGGGACCTGGTTCCTTGTGTCTGAACTCGCCACCGACGTGCCTGGAGAGCTTAGCAAACGTGTTCATCAGTGATGAATAAGTGTTCAGCGACCGGACTCCATCTCCTTCATCGCATTCATCCGTTCTAGACCGACATGATTATGCTGGACCGACGGTAGAAACCTAACCTGGCACCGCGTACTCGACTCTGGCGAGAACCGAAATTCCCGTCACGGCCCGTCGGTTTCGTCAGAAGGTGATAATGAGATGTCGCCTACATGAAATCGTCGTCGCTGAGCTCCGCGTGATACGCGTCGATAGCCTCGTCCGTGAACATGCCCTCGTAATTCCGCATCTTCTTCTCCTCGGCCCACTTCTTCTTCTGCTCCTCCTCCTGCTTTTTCTGCGTACGGTCAGCCAAAATGGACGAAATGGTTTCTTCGTCGCAGGGGAAATCGCAGCCTGCAATGCGATTGAGGGAGCGTGCGATTGACCTCGTGTTCATCACCACGCAAGGGATGACAGAGCTGCGGTCCTTGAATCCGACGACAGCTCCAGGATTTTGACGAAGGCTACGCAGCCCGAGGCTGTATACGACCTCGATATATAAATGATATATAAATCCCAATCCGGGCCGGAGGCTGGTGTTCGACAGCAATTCGAAGGGCCCGTACCACAAGTGAGCAGCTCATCGTGACCACTCTGGCTCCGGGAACGGAAACGCCCCCCAATGCAGCCAAATTCTCCAGTTTCCCGAACCCCCCATGACATCGCTGTCAATCAAGAGCCCGCCCTCAACAAGCTGTGCGAGATGCAAGGGCCTGAAAGAAGCGTGCCGCCCAGATCCAGACATTTGAGACCCGCCGCCCCATATCGCACTTGCCCACCTTGGCCCTGCTCCGACAGACAGAACCGTGGTAAAGGCGGATATAGCTAAGAGCGACACCAACGCTTGTCTTTGATGGATTTTGGCGCCACGGCCGACTCCGACGCTGCAATCTCCCCTCCATCGCAATGACTCACCCTCTCGATGGCTTCGTTCTTCTTTTTCCGTCCCTCAGCGCGCTGGCGTTCTTGCCTCTCGGCTTCGTGGTCGACCTCACGCTCCACCTTGGTCTTGTTCAGACGGTTAACAATCGCGTTATCTCTTGTGGAAATTTTGACTGCTCATCAGTACGTGGTTCAACGGAAGGCATGGACGGCGATCTCGCTTTCGACAAAATTTTGTCCACAGAGCTGATCCGCGTTCCTGGGCCGACCAGCTCGTCGGAGATTAAAGACGGTAGGTGCCGCGAGTCGCCATGGTCGGCGATCCAAGGCACGAGCGCAGATAGCACCAACATCCCCTTCCGACGATTTATTTTTGGGCCACCTAATGTCTGTTTTGTTCGTCTCACAACTGCTATGTGCAGCAGCAATAGCTTGTCAAACTTACCGCGCTTCACTTTCCGGTCATTGTGGAAGGCAACCTGTCCGACGGCCATGTCACCGGTCTTCTTCAAATTGGTGAAAGGGGTGTAGATAATCTTCACTGGGTCAGATACCGGGTAGATTCCTCAATTACATACGGTGATGTTGTCCTTCTTGTTTCCTGATGTTAGCCAAGTGCTGAATGCTGAACGAGACCTAAAACGCCCGGCCTTCAGACTGGGAGGAAGGCACTGCATGACTGATTGTAAAACGATGGCCGGTGACTCGCTCAAGCGCGAGGAATTCTCCAAGCTTAGCCTGGAGTTGAGACTCACCCTCAATACTGTTCGCCTTCACCAGCTGAGCGGCATCATTGACAAGAGCGGCGGGAAGGTGCTCCCAGTCACCGTGGGGTTGCTCGTCGGGTTGCCTCAGATAGACGTGCGCGGAAGACAGCTTGCTGAAGATTAGCTTCTTGAGCGAAACAAGCTTGGGCAGAAAGAAGGAAGGCTGTAACGCACTCAACGTGAAACCAGACATCAGTGGGCAGGCCGTACTTGAGAAGGTCCTCATCTTCGTGTCAGTGGATGCTTGTCAGACGTGAGGAATTAGACAGCCTGGGTATGAAGTGGCAAAGAGCACGGGTTTGCTGTTAAGCCCAGACTCTTGGCGCTTTGAGACCTACTTTCGACCTTGTCACGGCCCCTGTCACGTCAGCGAGTCTCGTCGAGGACAGTCTTAGACGATGACGCACATGTAGATGGTCACTGGCGGGTCGACAGCTGGTAAATCAGTCACAACCCTTACAGGCAAACGAACCTTTCGACGTGAAGAAGAGGACCATGTTGATTATTAACGAGTCTGAGCTGCACCAGAGGGAGATGAAAGATGTGCAGAGGCTCGAACGCGAGGAAGACAAGGAGGAAGTGCTTGAGTATTGCACCAAGGAACGGTTGCTGACCTCCAACTTCGTGAATTGATCGGATCGACCTCCACCCATCGTAGTATATACTGCCACGTGGATTTGCCTCCGCGATCGGTGACGAACTGAGGAGCCCAGGGTTTCGCTGCTGTTCTTGGTGAGGCCAGGAAGTTTGCAAACATCACTGATCGACCTTCAACGAGCTCGGCGTCTCGTTGCTTGTCGGCAACACCGATTCACGTCAACCACGATGAGCGAGGGGATTCCTTCGACGCTGCTGCGGCACTTCGACGTGTCTGCGCCATACCCGCGCGCAGAGGACATCAGCACGCGGCGCCCGACCTACCCGCAGGGCCAATTGTTCTTCGACCGCCTGCTCGCGCTCGCCGATACGAACACGCCATCGACGGACTGGGCTTCCCTGTACCCGCCGACGTCTCCCAGTGCGCAGCGCAAGCTGCTGCAGGCGATTCACGAGCTGCCCGTCGACCGACTCAAGCGTGACTGCTTCATCTACTACCTCCTGAAGGATCTCGACAACAATAGCGCCTTGGACATGGACGTGGATGGATCGCGAGCGGCGTCTCCTTCGACGCCCTCATCCAAGGCGGCTCAGTGGGCGCGCCGTCGCTGCATCCCTCGTGCTTGGCGTACGCTCATGGACGGATACTGCGCGCTCGATCATGGGGAGTGGGCTCTCGCCGTAGAGGCGCTGACCGACCCGGCCATCTTCGACGTCAACTTCCTTCCCGACATTGTTGCCGCGCTGGTGACGCTTGTGTCGGCACCGCAGGCTCTTGATCTTGTTCACACCCTCCTTTCAGTTCGCCCGCCTTCGTCGCAGGATGCCGCCGACGCCGCCCTTCTCGCGGCTGCCAACTTTGGCATGCTGACCGCCTTTACGCGGATCCGCGCCCAGGCGCCCGGCGAACGGGCTCGTTCTCGTGAGGCCGTGTGGTGCTGGGCTCTCGGAGCTCCCCGCAGTCCGGCTGGCGCGGGTGCGCACACTGCCCAGCCGCGTGCTCTGAAGGAGCTGCTGCATCTAGTCCTCAGCGACGAGGAGCATGCGCACCTGGTCCACTTCCTGGCTCACCCCCCGCGCGATATTCCCGCTCCCGCGCGCTCGCTGTTGCACGACCTCGTCACCCTCCGTCTCATCCACGCCGGCAAGTACGAGGAGACGCTTGCTCTTGACAAGGAGCTCAGCGAGTCGGGCGCGGATCGCCAGCGCCGCCGTGAGATGGTGCGCGAGTTCATCGACATTCTCCCTGCAGCCCAGCGCCGCATCCTCCTCGGCGACCAGGGAGAGAAAGATTGGGTCGTCGTCGAGGCCGAGGACTCGGAGCCGCAGCAGTCCCAGCAAGAAGCTCCCAAGGCCCTCCCTGCTCCTGCCCAGGAGCCGGCCAAGCCTGCTGAGTCGTCGACGCCGGCGCCCATCGCTGCCCCGACTCCCGTTCGCCCCAGCCTCGCCACTCTGCTGTCAGCAATAGAAGCCGCGTGGGGATCTAACTGTTTCGCCAAGTCGCCCTCGGTCAGATACCGCGTGTATCCGTTTGTGGCGAGGACGACATTCTTCGCCTTGATCTTGCCCCGGTCGCCACAGT